AACGAGCCAAAGGCAAGCAGGAGGTTCCCCGCGCTGGAGGCGCCGTGTGACACCACGACGGACAACGTGCCGCACGGACCAACACGCTGCACGATCAACACACACTTCGACCTATCCCCCCCTTCAAGATGTTTATGAAAATTTAACGAGCCGAAGGCGAGCAAGAGGTTCCCCGCGCCGGAGGCGCAGTGTGACACCACGACGGACAATGACGACGACGACGGGCTAACACGCGTGGCTTCCTTGCCTGCTACCTCGATTGCAGCGGTGACTCGTCTTCAACAATGACGACGACCTCCGAGGTGGTGCAACGGGAGTGGCACAGCATGGTGTGTTGGCGCGTCGTTCACAAGGTGGGACATCCCACTGGCTTGGGGCCATCAATGACCCTGCGCTCGCGAAGGCTTGTGCCATTGATTATTCCAGGACCAGCGCACACACCTCCACCCGCACACACCGCCAAATAAGCGACCAGATCCTCAAAGCGGGGTTGTCCGAATCCAAAACATGGTGACGACGACGTTCGGAGTAGCTAGGGAATCCATAACGCTTTGCTAGCTAGACACGTTATTGAAAGGGTGTGAGAAAAATAATGTAGCAAAGGTATTGGTTGGTAGTAATAATCTTAAACTTTAATGTCAATGATCAATTTTAGAGACCCATCGACTGTGATATTCTGGTTTGCTTAGTTCATGGCATTGGTGGCTAATTTCTTGAACCTTAAAACCAATCTAACGGTTGTGTTTCCATAGTGTATATAAAATTAAAGGCTGGATGTTTCTGATTATTGTGCGATTTTCTAGAGTAATTTCCTTTTATTGATTCGTATTTTCCTTTTAGTACTATAATAGATAGATTGCCCAACATTTATTTGTTTATCCACTGCATGCTACTTTTCAAGAGAGAAGCCAGTAGTGAAGAATATGGCCCCCCGGCACTTCTTTATCATATAACACAACCAAAAATATCTCGTTACAATTTATTTACTTTTATATTATTTTATAATTTATATATCTACCACTATTAGATTTAATCATTGCAACTAACGAGTTCAGGGGGATTGGCAGCCCTATTGGCCGTGTTGGGTGCAAGTATTTGCTCTTGTGTGTGTGGGTGTTGCTCACTAGCTTTGATTCGATTCTCTTATTGGTTCGATAACCCTAGTTCTCACTTAGGGAAATACTTATCAGCTACTACATTGCTTCACCTTCCTCTGCGAAAAAAATCCAAACGCAGCTCACAAGTAACACACCACTATCTTTCAAATGGTGAGTACAAATAGGCCAGTAGAGTTGTGACGTGTTAAGAAATAAAGCAACGCCATCACTAACCCTGTAAAGTTGACGGACCAAACATGACAATACCACCACTATTTGAAAAAAATAGTGAAAAAAATAGTGCTAGCGTTGTTTGAAAATAACGCACCACCAACTAAAGTTGTGACTAGCCTTTTCCCACTAGTGTATAGGGTGATCCCTTCCACGTATATAAGGTGAGACGATGAACATCTCAAAATAGGAGTGCTCCATCGTGCTTTTCCCTATTGAAACAAGTTCATATAGAACATTGCATTCGAGTGGCCAGTTAATCGGGCGTGGAGGAGGCCGCAAGGGACGCGTCCTCTCGTTCTCGGTCTCGGCATCGGTCTCATGGGGAGAAATGTACTCCTTCATATGATACTTCTTTTGTCCCAAAATAAATGACTCAACTTTGCATTTACTTTAGGATGGAGGGAGTAGATGATAATGCACACGCGTTATGATTACGGATATTTAACTAGTACATTATTTGTAAAGTGTCATCGTTGATCCTTAAAACAAATTGAGATGTACTCCTATTTAATGTGAGCACTCCAAAAAGTGGGCGGAAAGAATACCAAATCATCATACACGACTAACATGGTTGATTGATACACCAATGACAAGTGTTAGGTGTAATGTCACACTCGCACACCGGATCATTTTGCAGGATCATTCATTCAAGGCCCCTCTCTCACTCCGTGTATAAAGTATCGAAACACACACCCATTTACAAGCAGCAGCTCCAACCGATCAATATGGATCAGCTCGTCGTGCTCCTCGCCCTTCTCTTGTGCGGCCTCCTCTCCGTACTCCGGCGCGGCCGTGCTCCTCCAGCC